ACTTGGAATACTGTTCATATCATGATAGGACAATTTATTTCTATGCTCTGACAGGGAACCCGTTTGGCAATGCCAAAGAAACAAAAAATGATATCCATTGTTTGGTAAGCAAACAAAAAAAAGAAAAATAAATTTGGGGGTACTCACCAAAGATAACATTATTATGAATATGCATTAATAGATGCCGAGAAGGAAACATCAAAATTTGGTAGAATAGGCATTGCAAAGTTGTGAAGGAAACATCATTCCTCAGTCCGGGAGATTTCATAATCAGGTCATCACCATTTTTGTAGGATATGCTTGGGGTAGAAGCTAATCTTCTAAACGTTGTCTTACATCTGCAATTTTGTTAATGGAGCAAGAAGATATCTGCATTTATAATTATTACTTACATCTAAGGCAGGAGATGATGGGTAGTGCTTTAAAAAAAAGGGAGGAGAGGGTATCAAATGATTTAACCTTGCTAGCTTCAATTGCCTTTTCCTATTGTTGAGACAATTTTCAATTCTTTAACTATGTGTGATAAATCCACTATCATATAATTCATCTTTATCATGAACCCATTTTAAGGCACAATTTGATACTAAGACATTACTAGCAAGAGTCAATATCTTCATTTGCCAATATCCAATAAATTTAAATAGGAAAAAAAATAATTTAAAAATATGAGTATTTGATCTAAAGAAATTTTTTATCAATTATTTACTAACATTTAATGTAACACTTTGATTAATCCTATATCAAAAATGGATATATTATTATTAATTTTAACTTAAATATTTTAATCAGTGACTTAGATTTAACAAAATTGATAGACCAATTAATACATGCACTATCCCTTTGTCTTGACCACTAATGATAGATATCTAATAGCCTATATAAAGCAGCTAACACTAAAAACATATTTTTAGTTTTATGACTTCACATGGATATTTATGACAAAGAAAACATTCATTATTTACTATTTTTGTTTGAGGAATATATATGTAAAACAAAATCCTAATTCTATAGAGTACTACTCAGCTCTGAGCTAAAAGCCTAGCCCAAAATAATAAAATAATTATACACCAATTCTTGCAAAAGATATCCAATTTTACATATGATCAACGACAAACAATCAGTAAAGACCCCATAATTATGTTAGAATGATGCTTTTGGTTTGCACCTTAACTTTCACATTGAGTATATCTCTAAGGGGACATGTTTCTTTGTCAACACAAGTGTTAGTGGAGGTTTATTTGGCCATGGTTGTCCTCATAGAAACCTGCAGAATTGTTGATCAAGACCATCCTTTTTTAACAAAATATTAGCATATAGACTTGAACATGTGCTTCTTCAATTCAAGGTGGAGAAGAAGCCTTGCAAAGACTGTAAACAAGAAAACTAACATACCAACTAGTACTTTATCGTATTAATGAGAAGGCCAATAACAAAGCCCCCAATGAGCCTTACCGGCTTACAATCATGTCTTAGGATTTCCTAAACTTTCTAAGATTCTAAAATTATTAGGCTAATAAAAAATAAAAAGGCATTTACATAAAATACTTAGAAAATTGATCCAAATCAATTAAGGGCAGTTGTTTTGCTACTTTTAGGCTTAGCCAAACCCTTTATCAGGTTCCATAGTTTTCTTCATAGTTCCGACAACCCTGTGACAACAAAGGGACGCCTGATGAATGTGTTGGGAGTCCCTTTGTTCACCTGGGTGAACCAAGTGTAAAGGGCCAGTGGCCCTTCTACATGCCCAAACCAGAGGACACAACCCAACACATTCATCAGGCGTCTCCACTGCTTCTAAACAAAGTAAAAGCTCGCAGCTCCTCCACCATTGTACCTCATGCCACTACATTGCAAGATGGGTTTCCTTATCCTACTTCTATCACCAATGTTTCTCCAGCAACAAATTGTAGAAGATATAGGTACATGAATTGCTGAATGAATAGACCAATGCAGTTGCATTAACCAAAAGTGATTAAGATTATAACCTATTTACGGAGTTATCTTGTCACTATTCCAAGCACCATCTAAACTAGTAGAACTGGAAACACGAATTCTGTACAAACCTAACTTGCAGACAGTCACCGCTTGAGATATTTGGAATATTGGACCAAACTGACATAAAGAAATCAACGAGAAGAGTCTAAGAATACTGAGGCAGGCAACCCAATGTAAAGTGATGTGGGGCGTACGGGATAATTTACCTTTTGCTCGTTGCTCTCCTCTCGCATGATACCATCTTCAAGCCTGCTTCATTGAGGCGGCGACGTTTTGCCGTCGAAGAAGAAACACGAGATGGTGAAAAGGGTGAAATCGATGAGCAGGCCTCCTGCTTGGGATGATGAATGGGGTGGAGATTGGAGACTTGTATGGAAAAGAGCTAAAGAGATCGATCATATAGGGGGAAATATGAAGGGACGACTCACCAAGAAAGACCCCTAGTTTTCCAAAATGATCAAATTGGCCTTCTCAATTTTGCCCAAAATATACTTCAATGGCTCCATAATTTTAAATCAATAAATAATATCTCACAAAGAGTAGTATGTCTTCTTCTATAAATAATAAATCAATAGCATTCTGTATTAAATAATTATATAAAAGCGGTGACAATATTGTTATGCGTGGACAAGGTGTTGAATGTGACATGGGATGGGCGGGCACGCGAACGCCCTCCCGCTCACGACCGCCCTCGCCCGCCTCATCGACCGCTGTCACAGCCTTCGACAACTCCAACAAATCCACGCCCGAATCATCGTCGCTCGCCCTTCGCTCGGCCACGATGCCACCGCAGCTGTCCTGACCCGCCTCCTCTTCGCCTCCGCCTCCTCCCCCTCTTCCTCCTCCTCCCTCCACTACGCCGCCGTCCTCTTCCGCCGCCTCCCCGCTGCGCCCACTCTGTTCGCCTACAACGCCCTCATTCGAGCCAACTCCTTCGGCTTCTGCTCCCATCTCAACCCTCTCTCCCTCTATTCCCAAATGCTCTCCTCTGGTGTCCGTCCCGACCACCTCACCTTCCCTTTCTTATTCAGGTATTGCTCTCATATTCTCGACTCCGTCGTCGGGCAAAGCTTGCATGTGCACATACTTTGGCTCGGGTTTCACACCGATGTTTATATTCAGAATTCTATGATCCATATGTACGCTACTTGTGGGCTTATTGATTGCGCCGGTAAATTGTTCGAGGTAATGCCTCTGAAAGACATTGTTTCTTGGAATTCGATGCTGATCGGGTACTTGAGATGCGGAGAGCTGGACTTGGCGTTGGATTTTTTTCTTGGCATGAGGGAGAGGAATGTGATCACTTGGAATTCGATCATCACTGGGTTCGTCCAGGCTGGGCGGTCGAGGGAGGCATTGGATTTGTTTCATGAGATGCTGATTCTGCATGATGATAATGTGAAACCCAATAAGGTCACCGTTTCAAGTGTTGTCTCAGCATGTTCTTCTTTGGGAGCGCTAGATCAGGGGAAGTGGGTGCATGGCTATCTGAAGAAGCAGTCTTTGGAGTTTGATGTCGTGATTGGGACCGCTTTGATCGACATGTACGGAAAGTGTGGGTGTGTGGAGAGAGCTATTGAGGTATTTGAGAAGATGCCAAAGAAGGATGTTTTGGCCTGGACGGCTATGATCTTGGTATTTGCAGTCCATGGACTTGCAGAGGAGGCTTTTGCTCTTCTAGAACAGATGGAGAGGCATCGGGTGATGCCTAACCATGTAACTTTCGGTGCTCTGCTGAGGGCTTGTGCTCATTCGGGATTGGTAGAGAAAGGGCTTTGGTGCTTTGATAGGATGAAAGCTACTTACTTGATTGAGCCACAGCCACAGCATTATGCATGCATGGTTGATTTACTTGGCCGAGCAGCTCTTTTTGAAGAAGCTGAACGGCTCATAAGAAGCATGCCGATGGAACCAGATTCGTTTGTTTGGGGGGCATTACTTGGTGCTTGTAGGATGCACGGAAACGTGGAGGTTGGAGAACGGGTGGCTAATTATTTGATAGGATTGGATCCTCAGAATCATGCTTTCTATATAACACTTTCAGATATTTGTGCCAAGGCTAAAAGGTTTGGGGATGTGAAGAGAATTAGGTCTTTTATGGAAGAGTGTGGGATAAGGAAAACTACGCCAGGTTGCAGTATGATTGAGGTTGATGGCCAGGTGCTTGAATTTTCTGCCAAAAGAGTGCCCAAGGATCTGAGAAATGAAATTGAGTGGGTTTTAGATGCGATTAATGTTGAATTGAGATATAATTTTCCTCATCATGATGCTGATAACCTTCAGGCTGAGTATGTTCGGTTGAAATTTCATCAAACATGACCTTAAATGACAGGAAAAGATCATTGAAGCTAAATGTAGTTGGTTGTTGGTACTTGGTAGTTTTTCAGGCTGTAATATTGGTTTTCCATGGCCCACCGGATATCTTTCGAAGAAGGATTCTTGTACTTCTGAGAAGTTATCACTGAAGATGGATTATTTTCTTGTGGAAGATTTCTCACCAATAACTTGTGAGTGGAACTGATCTAACATCGATGAAGCTAGACATGTAGTGGCACAATACCAAGTTCACACCGGTCTCTTACACTGCAGTAAACAAGAAGTATGCTACCTAAACTAGTCTAGTAAGTTCTTACTAAGCTTTTTGAGATTATAATGTTCGGATGCTTCAGCTTGCCAACTGATTTATATGTTTAAGAGATATCAATATGCTTGAAATTCTCTAGGCTAATACGAAGCATGTTGTTATTGAATTTACTTGATTATTCAAGTAGACTATACTAAAAAATTATCAGAAGTAAATCTTATGTTTGCATTTGTGTCTAACTTCCTTTCTTTTCCAAAGTGAGATTTCCTTATTTAATTGATGACAATCTTAAAATAGTTCAATTCAAAAATGTCTTATCCCATCAATTTGTTTAATTTAATCTCATGAATATTCATTCATATATTCACTTTTTGACCCCCCTGAAAAAAATAAAGGAAGAATGACTGACTGACATTCCATTCCCAAATCAATACTTTTTTATCTGAACAAGGTAGTACGGTAAAAGAATGTATATTCACTATTCAGTGCTCTGTGGAAACTTCAAGCAGAAAACAGACAACTACAGACAATCCAGCTCAATCATACTAAATCTCAATCATTTTCTGGTTCAGAGTCATGTATCTCCATCTTTCCTTCTCAACAAAATCTGCATCTAGAAACTTAGCAACAAAAGTCCATAGTCTATAAGCATCCTGAAAGTTAGTGAGGAAACTGAGGGAAGCATTTACGACACTTATTCCCATATTAACATTTTCTTTCTTTTTGTTACCTGCAATTGTTATTTCACAGGATGATCTTCTCTCCAAGACTTTATCCTTCTCTGCTTCATATTTGTCTGCAAACCAAATATTATTCAGAAATCCACAACTAAGAGAAATGTTGCTTCGATCAGCAAGCTTTTGTACCAATGCAGGCTTGATCTTCTCTCCTTTCCAGTCAAACACATTGAAAGCTAATGCAGGTCCCCTGTCAAATTTTATTCGTGGACCGTATATTTTAACCAGGGAATGGCCACTTTCTGAATGAGGATGCCGCAGCTTCTTCAAAGCAACGACCAACCAGTTGGTGATGCATCTCAGTCTGCTGCTGATGAGTTGCAGACCCAGTGAGTCTGCATGGTCTAATCCTCTGCACACAATCTCCATACTCTTGTCTGCTCCAGACGTGGTCTCCTCTGCTTGCATAGAATGGTCCAATTCTAGTTCTACTATACTTGATGATGTTTCTTCTTTCTCATCTTGTGCTTTGGAACTCTCACCCTGGTTTGACTTCTTGACTTGCTTTTGTTTTTCTGTGACAGCACTTTCACCGAACACATCATCTGCACCAGCAGAACCGTTACAGATCTGTGTAGGAATTGGACCAGAGAATGAACTAATTGTCTCGATATCATCCTCCTCGAATTGGTTTCTGGACGAGTGAGCATCCAAGTCTGTTCCTGAATAATCATCGGTCTGCTGTGACAGCCTTCTTGCTGGGATGATGCTGACTATTCCAATGCTCCTGGCGATCGTTGATGGCTCCAACATTGCAATGCTGGACTTCTTGATGAAGAGCCCTGCGAACCCAGATGGATTTTCACCGAACACCTTGAAGAAAGAGCAGATGATAAAGTCTGGTTGGATCAGCGACAGTCCAAGGGTGTCAAGGTCCTTCGGCCCCAGAGCACATGCATCCAGCACAACCTGCCATCCGTTTTCCTTGGCCACAGTCATCCATAGGTAAGGATACCTGGCCCCGGTAATCCTGGATTGAAGTGGGAAGACAAATAGTCCTCTTTTCTTTTTCTTTCTCTTGCTTAGCTTCTCCATTAAGCTCCCAGAATGAATCCTCAGACTTGGCCATGAGAAGCTAGCAGACGTGACTTTGGCTCCTCTCTTTTGGGCGCTCTCGATCATTGCAGTCACAGCTTCGCTCTCGTAATCATATACACATAGCAACCCCTTGTTGGCATGGAATGGGTAGGATTCTGCCAACAGCCTGAAAGCTGTACTCCTGTTTGCAGTACAGACCATGCTGTATTCATCGTCCAGTATGTTGAGGAAATGCATGATTCTCTTCCTAATTGACGACTCCAGAGCAGTATCCTGGTTCCCATACTGCACTTGAGATTTCAAGCTTGCTGACTGGTAAGAGATGCTGAAGACTGGAGGCTGCAAGAGGGTCGAAGGTGGAGGATTAGAGGATGAGGATGCTACAGAGGAGTGCATTTGTGTGTGGGAGAATAGGCTGAATCCAGTATAGTCGAGGCAGACATGGCTCGAGAGATGATAATATTCGCTGTTCCTGATGTGATCTGCTTGCTGTGTCTCACCATACTGTGGGTAGACTGTGATGAAGCTGGAGAAGGCATCAGGAAAGGCAGGCAGGGACTCGTCGTTGACAAAGTTGGTGTTTGGGAAGATGGAATCTGTCGTCAGCTTCACAAAGTTCAAGCGTGAGATCCTAGTGGTGGTGGCTCTCCTCTGCCGCTTTGTGTTGCCGGATTCAACCAGATTTAGTAAAGGTATGGAACAGCAGCCGGTGGCACATGCCTCAGAGGGCTCCTCTATCTTATTTTCACCTCCTTGTTCATGCTTGTTGCTTTCTTTGTCTCCTCCAGTAGCCTTCATCAGCCTTCTGAAGTACTTGTGGATGAAGAAGAGCATGGCGTTTCATGGGAAGAGAGGTGCTGTCAGGGAACTAGTCGGCTTAGATAAATACAACTTTCTTGCTTCTGATATCTTCCGAGCAGACTGAGTTGATATTAAGAGTGGGACATCTTTTAGGCTCTTTATTCCCTTTTAACATCCAAAATGGCAGGTTTAGACCTACTGCCCAATTACTCAACACAACTATGCATTACTGTTAAGGATAAGTAGATGCTTGTACCTCCTTGACCGGAAGACGATAAGGGTACATACTGTGACTGGCTGCTTCTCCATACCATTTTTATCTTGGAGTGATGCTTCACCTTTATCCATGCAATTATTTTTACCTACATGGTCAATTTCAAGCTTCAGATGGATTTACTGCTTGCTACAATGTATAACAGATTTTTTGCATCTATGAAAAAGATCTGGAGGTTGGTTTGGTCATTGTATCAGATTATACATGCTGTAAGAGTGCATACGCAAGTGGACAGGTCGGTCACTGTAATGGATGGCTACAAGCACGCTCTGATGGTGGCAGCTAGCCTAACGCGTGACATGGCTTAATTGCTTCCTTTCAGCTGTTTGACATCTAAATGTGTGTGATTCTTGAATTGGTCTTTCAGCTGCTTAACAAGGATTGTTCAGCCAGAAATCCTTGCTCATTGGATGCTTTTTAGGTAACTGTGACTTGCGGAAGCTTTTTGATTCAGCCATGCTGTCTCTACAAGACCTAAATAATGCATTTTGGTAGCAGACTGCTGTGTGTCAGCAAATAGTTTACTTTAAACAAGTAATTTAATTTTTCAGAACATAGCAGGCCTCATTTTATATTTCTTTTGCTGTCTATTTATTATGCTTGATTACATTACCACCTGAACCCAGCCAGGTCAAATGTTCCTCCTCCAAACCAGGTCCCTTCCTCAATCTCTGGCTGCTTCTGAGGGAGAGCTGAAAGTTTATCCGCTTCTTGGTGGAAGATATTGTCCATTCCATGTGAGTGACCTCAGAGCTGAAATTTTCGTGTTTTAATAAAGATATGATGGCTATAGCCAATATCGTGCCCGATGACACTCGAAAATATCTGGAATGTGGTGTCCCAAAGGGGTCTGCAAATTTTGGCCATTCAACATGCGAATGATTAAACATGGAATCCTGTTCTCTGTTTGGTGCAAGCAGCATAGCATCTCTCATGTTCGGGTCAATGGGTTGACTTCAGGTGGCGAGACGGGACCAGCTTGTGCTTGCAAGCAATAAGCAATGCTTTCTCTACATGATTCCTCGTTACGTGCATTGCCTACCCGTGCGTCGGTTGGAGGGGTGAAGTTGGGGCCCACATGTTGGGGTCATCTCCTCCCTCACAAGCACGACTGGGCAACGCGGCTTTTGGGTATGTCAACAAAATTACTTTGCATCATTTAGGTGCGAACGATGCTTCACCTTTTCTCCCTTTGGGCTTTGTTTTGTTGTAATGTCTTGTCAGTCTCTTTGAATGTCTGCACCATCTTTCTCTGTCATCAAACAACGATGCGTGGATAAATCACATTCCAAAGTATAAAAAATTGGAAGTAGGATTCTTTCAACTTTCTAAGAGAAGTAAATTTGGGACTTTGACCATTCCAAGTTTGCCAATGCCTGAACAAACCTTAATTTTAGATTTTTCTTTTCAGAGAAAAGAAAATAACACATAACACTATCCATGGCTTGATGTCTTTGTAGGAGCATTTTCTTGAGTTTTTGAGGCTATTTGTATTCACACAGAAACCTCTTGTTCCTGCCATATGGCAGGATGACTTTTCATGATCTATCTAAAAGCTTAAACTTACATATTGTTAAGAGTTTAAATAGTGATTGGTGGACTCTTTCCTAACAAGTTTTTGAAAGCAGTGATAAATCAATTGAAATTGTATCATAGCATACCATAATATAGCTTAAACTACTCTTTTATCACATTTTTCTCATTACTAGTCAAGGCATTTTCACGTTGATACATAATTATTTGGACTGTCTACTAATTTATATTCTTAATATGTGTTGGTTTGATAGGATGTGTTCATTTATATTCTTTAACACACAAAGTACTCATATTAAATTACTTTAACAACCTCCAACAGGTGGCCACATACCGTATAATTGGGTCCATATCAACTGGTTCTTCCTCGATGAGAAATTAATAGATGGGACAGATGATGTGGTATCCAATGATGGATTCAAACGAAGGAGTTCATAGTCATAGCCAGAATCAAAATTTAAATTTACTGCAGAATTCTTCAATTTTGGTTGATGTCACATGGTGCATCTTAATTCAAATTTCTTGTGCCAATAGTCTATTATATCCAAGCTAGCAATCTAAGTATATATCTGACATAAAAAAATCCAAAATCAGCATGGTCAAATGTCCTGAATTTATTAGTTCTCTTTCAGGAAAAGTTGAGTAGTTGACTGGCTAACTCAAGCTATTTAAGTCAAACTTCTCTTTCAATCATGCAATAGATGAGAAACCAAATTCAAACATGGCTTCCTACTTAGTCCATGACACCAATCATCTATTTCAAAAGGAGGAGGAGGAGGAAAAGTATGAGCTGCTATTCTCATTTTTTTTCTCTTCCATTCCTTAGATTAATTATGGAGTCTTTATGACTTGATCGGAGAAGAGTGCTTATAATTTGATTATTGTATATTGTTCCTTGTACTATTTCAAGCAAAAAATAAAAGCTGATCTCCTTTTGCACGTGTGGTTTGCGTCTAATCTTCTCAAGTCTTGGTGTGACGGGGGCTTGGCAAATCCTTCTTCGTGAGCTATAAAGGATTTGACTTGTCGATTACCAGCAAGCGAGGGGAACTTGCAACTTGTATGTTGATCATGGTGCACATTAGGACACCATGGTTGTTTGGCCCCGGCCACAAGTCTTTCAGATTTGCAGTCACTGCCATGAGAATAACATCCATTGGGAAGGATTGATAGTAAGTAAAGGTTTGTCACACACTGTTTTTTTCTTTGGGAAGATTTAGACTGATAACTAATCCTACCAAATTACAACCCCCAGCCTTTATGGCTAAGTCTCTTCATCTGCATAGACTTCCCACAAGTTGAGAATAGGAGACTCTGTGATCTAAGAAAAGCTAAAGCTCCAGTTTCTAAAACCTTTTGTGGTCAAGACTGGCATGAGAGAGAGAGAGAGAGAGAGAGAGATGTTTACACTGGCTTGACTTGAGAATATTTATGCAACCTTAGAGAAAATAGGATCATGCAGGGAAATTCTGATGAACTTAAAACAAGGATGATTGTTCTTGATGTAATACAATTATGTTTCAAGGAGGAATATATGCTTATTTTTTTTAAAAAATAATTTTCTTTTAATTCTTTGTTGCTAGGGAAGTGATGCTTAAGTCATCTCTTTGATCTTTAGTTGTTAATCCTGTATAAAGTGGATGTTAAGTTTCCTAGCTTAAACATAAAAGAGACATTAGCACTGTTTTCTTCTTGAATTATTAAGGTAATGGAAATAAATTTAACCAGTTTATTTTGAAGATCTTCCTATAAGACACCATAAAACCCCTCATCAATTCTAAAATCCATCCCCCTTCTCAAAATACTTGTGAATCTTTCTACAATACCCTACAAACATAAATATGACCATGCAAGACTAAATAAAATTGGTGTACTTTAACCAAACATAATGGAAATTACTAACACTATCAGTTTCCTAAACGCTACTTGAATATATCTTCATCGTTTTTATTTTCTTAATATTCTGCTAAAATGAACTTTTGGTGTCAAACACATTGATGAAGTTGGCATGAAACAGCCCTCACCAATCCTAAAATCTGAATGAAGAAGGCTTGGTACTTAATGATTAAATTTTGAGAACAAATACAATGACAAATGATTTCTATGACAAAATAATTACAAATATCTAAATGTGAATTTCATAATGTTTATCGACAAGCAGATATGGTTTAAGGATCCATATCTATATATATAAAAAAAATGCTAGCCCAACATTTATGGATGCTTTCTAAAGATCTCTTTCTAAGCTCACTTATGGTTTCCATCACAATAAATTGCTATTGTAAGGTTTTTGGCAGGAATAGGCCATACATAACTCACACCAAAGACATTACCATCATGTTTCAGTTTTGCTAGACAAATTAGCTATCCTTAAACTGATGATTAATACTGGTTGGATCAATGGGACTGATGTGGAGCTTTTGTTTTCTGTAATAAAAGTTCTTCATGTACTACTTTACACGAGGATGAGAACTGCCTTACCAAAACCCAGACAAGATGTTGATGCTTAAGATTAGCTGCTGATATTAATCCTAAATCTGCGGCAATTAATTTAATTGCTTCCCTTCACAAAGATTGACCACTTCACTTCAAGTAGCAGTTGTGAAAAATGTCTAAGCTTCAGTCACAAGACTGTGTTTGCTAAGATGCGTTTGTAAATGGCTCTCTCTATATAGTCAGCAAGAAGACATGGTTACTTGATGCACAGTTCATGACTTTTCCCTTCTCTCACTTTCTACTCGAAGAGATAAGCTTCGATGAAGCAGCACAAAGATATCTAAAGAGTGCACGTACTTCACCTTGCATCGTGCATGAGAAGCGGCAACAGCATTGGTCGGTGCTCTAAGCTGAAGCCAGTCGTAGGGCAAGTCTCCTTTGGCAGGTCATTGACTCATCGGAGGAAATGCATCACCGATGCATTCAACCTTACCTCCTTTCTCTCTGAGTCACCTGCCAAGGGAGAGAAGCCCCACAACTGGCTCGCTTAACTCGCGAACTCTTATCTATTTGCTTCGCTTGCTGCTTCTCCACACTGTTCTTCGCCTCTCTTGCGGTCTCTTATAGGGCAACCTCTCGGGTCAGGGACAGCATTGTGAGCCCCTGAATCAGTGGCATATGCCAGGGTACTTGGAAGGGTTATGCCATGGATATCCCTCTCCCACAGCAGCCTCAAGGAGGCTCCCTTTTAATCCTGAAGTCCATTTCTCAGATTGCAGCCTCAGTATGTGATTCTTCGTGGCGTTGTGCGTTTCTTCATGGCAGCTTTTAAGGTGAGAGGAAGATGTCGAGAGTGAGTGAAGGAGAGAAGGCCAGTGGGGGAGTCAGAAGACATATTCTCCTTCTTTTCTTCTCTCCATTGTAAAGGGATGGATGGAAAGAGGCGCATATGCTGAAGTATATGCTTCCTGTGCTCGCGAAAAAGACATGGGCTTGTCGGACTAAAATTCTTCTTTGCAGGTATCATATCTTCTCCTTTTATTACAAATACATGGAAGATTGGAATGAAGCGAAGAACTGCATGAATTGCTACCAATTAATGCAACCAAAAAAACTTGGTTTCCCATATGTACTCCAACTTTTCGATCTATAGTCATAAATATCAAGACAATTTTCATCTTCCCCACATCATCTATTACTTTTTTGATAATTTAGGTCTCGAAGAGAAAAAAAAACATGTTTGTGTGGGATATCATTTCTCGATCATTAAGTGAAGAAAAAGATGATCAAAATGAATGGTAGCGTTAAGAAGGTTAGGATTAGCTTAGTTGTCAAAGGCTAAAGGCAAGGGAAAGACATTAAAGAAAGATTGTGATAGAAGAAGAACAAGATCACTGCATCATTCTTATATATGTGGCAATTAACTGAACCATGAGAGTGAGTGATATCATTCTTATACTATCTCTTCTCTATATGAATTATTAAAGTCTATTATTTTTCAAGTGACCCTTCAATATAATACGATTAGCATAACCTTTGAGGATTTAATAGCATACATCTGCTTTTGCGAGCTCACATACTGATGAAACAATATATATACTCTTTGAAATTAATATGCATTTTTTAAATCCTCAATTAACTAACTTTACTTGCAAGAAAATTTCGTAAACATGTTTTCTGATTTAATTATTTTGAAAATTCATTTTTCCAGAAAAATATTCTTGAAAATTTGAGATAAATACTAGACAATTTCTTAGTTCATTTTATGTATGCTGTAGAAGGAAAAAAAAAAAAATCCAATAAGAGCTCTTAAAATTTTTGATACATTTGTAGATAGATAAATACATTTGCAAAGAAAAGAGTAATATATCTACGAGGGATACGAAAGACTATATGTTCATATATTTGAGGTTTATTTATCTTTAAATAATAAAATGTTTAGATATTGATTTCGTAAATTGTCTTGAGTTTATATCATATGTTAGCTAGAGAGATAATATATAAAAATATAAAATAATCTATTATCGTATAATTAATAATGGAAGTTGATTCCTTGATATACTTTGAAGTCACTGATTAGGCTTTGTGAGTATAAAATTTCACAAACTTAATTATCAAGTCATTAAAAATATTTTATCATAATATTATAGTAATTTTATTTTAATAACAAATACTCTGACGATTCTAAGTAAAGAAAATAAGTCTGAAAACAATTAGTGTTAATTGACAACCTAAGTTTTATTATATTAATTGATGATTTATTCACTAAAGCTTTATCGTTTAAGGTTGTTAAGGAACATGTTCTTTGAGGCGAGGTGTATGAGCAACCTAAAAATGATATGATAATTCATGTTTGAGTGGACATCATAATTAATATTTTTTATATAATTAAAATTATTTATTTCTATCATCCTATATATATTTATACATATACATGCTATTATTTAATATAATAATAGAATTTCTTGACAAGATAGAATTAGTATGGACTACATTAGGAAAAACTAATAATGTTATAGTATATTAAAAAATAATATTAATGATATACAATCATTATGACTTACATTAACAATTAGACCTAATATAGTATTATTATAATTAGTAGACTTATTAATTTATTTTTTAAAATTAGTAATCACATATAAAATACTTTTTAAAATTTAATAATCAATAAAATTATTTTTTAAAATAAATTTTAATTTTTTATTATGATTCTAAACCCTTTGTTTTATATCTTAATTAATAAGTCAAGTGGATGTATATTAGATTTTGTGGTTTAATTAATTAGGATAAAATATAGTAAGGATATAATTAGATTATCGATTAATAAAAGAAAATTCAAATCTTGGAAGATAATTACAATGAGAGAAACTCTTTTAATATATTTTTTATAATTTTTTTTTAACTAAAAACCTTTATTTGCACCTATATAATGACAATATCTCATAGAGATCTTATTATCAAGATATCTTTTCTCATTCCTTCTTCGTAAGTCAATAAGGAGAAAAGAAGGTTTCGCAAAGTTTGAGTGATCTTATTCGATATTAACACTCAAACGTACGTATCCAATTATATGATAATTTAGATTTCAATTTGAACTTAACTATATTACGCATAATAGTTTGATCTTCACCTTGACCTCCTTTATGACCGTAAGTTTTCATGATTCTACGATTTATAATGTAGATCATCATATTCAAATTATTAGGGATTGCACTGATAATATCTTTAATTAAATTAAAAATATTCACATTGTTTGGATTAAGTACACTCCAAGTAATTAAGAAATTTAAATCAAATAATACTATATATATATATATATAGGATTATACTATATAAAACAATTGTGATTATCTTTCAATATTACAATTTTTAAATTTTTGTTTATTATTATATATACAGAAATATGATTTTCAGAATTATAATAATAGTTATTATTTCAAACCAATGAGAGAAGTGGAATTGGATAAGGGTCAAGTCAAGGTTTAGTCAACGTCTTCTTCGTCTCCTAAAACAAACATAAAATTACTATTCTCTTCATAAAGGCAGTCTCCATTCACTTTATATTATTCTCTTCTGCTCACTTAGAAGGAACAAAACAGGGGCTTAAGAGACATCAGCCCCGGAAAGGCCGTGAAGTCTCTTGTTGGTGTTGGCGAAAGGGATGCATCGGAACTGAGCCCCGCTGGATCGCCTCGGCTCCTGATCCTTTTCTCTCCTCGATTCGAGGTAATCTTTTATCGATTTGCTTTTTCTTATGCTTTTTTTTTTCTTCGAGTTTTTGATGTCATCTCGGACTTTCGTGGGTTGGGAGTTGTGATTGTCGACGGATTTCCTATTTTTGATTCTATTCCGAGCGAGTTGCCCGTTCAAACGCGTGATTTTTAGGGATGAACTAACTGGGCTTCTCCGGGTGACTCTGGTTCGTAGGGAAGTATTGATCAGTTAGGGTTTTCTGAAATCTGCATGATTTCAGTTCTGAGGTGCGAGTGAGTAATTATTTTGGTTCTACTCTCTGGAACCTGTGACAAAAATCGATTTTTTCGTCTCGCAGTCTGTAATGGCACCATCTTTCTTCTTTTCCGAGTCGGATTTCTATAATCGTGCATCGTGTCACGCTTGGAGTTTAATTTGAGCTCTTGGATTTGGTACACTTTGGGGACATATTTGAGAAAGTAGTTGTTTTTTCCTTTTAACTTTTCCTGAAGTTTGTAATTTTCTTTTCCTTTCCGGTTCGGTCCTTCGTGCTTTGAACTTCCTCATTCTTTTCTTGTCATATTTTCCTATGTTACGATGTTAATTGAGATTTGATCTTGGTTATCTAGGTTAATATCTAGGAAAAACATGTAATCTTTTAACAATTATTCCTAGGTTCTCCGTTGCCCTTCATATCTCACTGAGTTGGTGGCGTGTATACTAGTGGTTTATGTCAAATACGAGATCGTAATAAGTTCCCATCTTGCAATCAGGAAGTTGTTTGTACTCAAAAAAGTCAATTACAGGGAGCTTTGAGCTCCTTCTTATGGCTGTTGCCAAGGGCAACAACAGAGATCCACTCTACAACTGCTACAAGGTTCCTGGCCTCAGTGATCCTATCCTAGAAGCCCCCCATATCTCTTACCTCGAAGACCGATATGCTTTACGTGAAGAATTGGGTTGGGGTCAATTCGGAGTTATCAGGGCTTGCTCTGACATGCTTACTGGTGAGTCAGCCGCCTGCAAGTCGATTGCAAAGGATCGCCTTGTTACCCCTGAGGATATTCGGAGCATCAAGCTTGAAATTGAGGTCATGGCTTGGCTTTCTGGCCACCCAAATGTTGTCGACCTGAAGGCTGTATATGAGGATAATGACTATGTGCACATAGTGATGGAGCTCTGTGCTGGAGGGGAGCTCTTCGATCGCCTCGAGAAGCATGGCTGCTTCCCTGAATGTGAGGCTGCTGTCCTGTTCCGGCATCTCATGGAAGTCGTGGTGTTCTGCCATGACAAGGGTGTTGTTCACAGGGACCTTAAGCCCGAGAATATTCTGATGGCTACCAAGTCTTCATCTTCACCAATTAAACTGGCAGACTTTGGGTTAGCTACTTATATTAAGCCAGGTATGTCCATCATTCTTAATTCACTTAAGTCAGTTTGTTATATCACTTATTTTGCTTTTATTAATTTTAAATGTAAATCAACAGGGGAGAGCTTGTCTGGGACTGTTGGAAGTCCATTTTACATAGCACCGGAGGTATTGACAGGGGGATACAATGAGGCAGCTGATGTATGGAGTGCAGGAGTGATTCTTTATGTTCTTCTTAGTGGGATGCCGCCCTTTTGGGGGAAGACCAAGTCAAAGATATTTGAATCAGTTAGATCTGCTGAACTACGGTTTCCATCTGATCCATGGAGAAGTGTTTCTGACTCTGCAAAGGAATTAATTAGAGGAATGCTTTGCAGGGATCCTGCTAAGAGACTCACAGCTAAACAAGTTATAGGTAAGCTATAAGTGTATGACAGACTTCACCTGATAGAATTAATTTCTTAATAATATTATACCTGGAACATGACCATTTGGATTACGTGCAGTTTGATACTATGCTCAATGGTAATAACCATTGGAAAAGTGCTGTTTGATTAATTTTAACCATTGAACATCTAATGTATATGACTAAAACTATCCAAATATTGTTATATATTTCCCAATGATAGGTTATAAAGTTCAATGAAGAGAATTAGGCTGCCAAGGTTACAAACTCCAATGAAGAGAATTATGTTGCCAAGACAGTAATTTTGTGATTCTCAACAATGATTCTTTTGCTAACAAAGCTGTTTCTGTTCCATATACACTATTGAAGTTACGGAGTAACTGTTCAAGCTCATCCCATTTTTGAGGCCCCTGCATTACGAGGCATTTTTCTTCTCCATTCAAACCCTTCTATCTTGGTTTATCAAGTCTTTGAGGTGGCTTCTTTTTTTCACAGACCATTCCTGGATAAAGGAGCACATGCAGCAACATGAAGTCCCATGTGGGCAATGCTGTGAAATCAGCTTTACACTGGGAGATCTGGGTAGCTGTTCATTCTCGACCCCGCTTGTCTCTGCAAGTCGTGATGTCAGCTTTAGTACTGGTTCTCTTGTTTCCTGCCAGACACTGGCAGATCATTCTTCCCCTGCATTCACTTGTAGATCATCATTTTCTTCAGTTATTTTTGACACTCCTTGCCCCTCTACGATCAGCTTCTCTTTCCAGAGCAGTTGTGAGTCTGACAACCACAGATTCTCCTCACCAATACCAGTGTTGCCAAGTTTTGCATTCTTCACACCCGAGCAACAAAAAACATTCAGTTTTACAAGTGATGAATCAAAGGCCGACACATCAAAGACAGGTATTTTTTTCTCCAGTTGCTCTTTCTGTATAGTGCTTTCTTAATTATTTTCCTTTCATATTACTGTGGGATGTGCAGACACCAGCTGTAAGAAGCGCATTATGTCGCCTGACTCAGCTGCATGCTTTGGTCGAGATTTTAGCGAATTGGAGCACAAATGGCTTGAAGCTAGAAGGGTTCCTGTGACTGGTTCTAGAGGCATTGGCATCCACAGCAGAAGGAACCACACCATTGGGCTCGGAGAGCTAGAGCAGCTTGACGTTGTGGTTTCGGAGTCGGTCATACGTTGGGCATCATGCACACACCTCTCAGATTCACCATCTCTCAGGTCCTCCCTTGTCTGCTGACATCCACAGACCTCAGATTGATGAATCTGTCTGTGATTAATACTTCATATCAAGTTTGTCAGCCTAACTCGAGTGTCAGATACTGAGCTGGCTGCCCTTGTTTAGAAAGTCCTTGATTAGCTGACTTTCTTCTCTCGTTCAAATTGTTTAGCATACGGTAGAGCCCGTCAATGTATGTGTTTTGTGTTATACATGTATTAGTAGTGAATCACTAGTGTGAGACAAGCATTTGGGGATTTGTACGCAACAACTAACATTTTTCTTTGTATCAACTGTTTACTTAATGATGTATACTGCATAGCAAATCTTGAGTGATATTCTAGTGTTGGTCTAAATCTGTTTAGGCAGCTTGATATTTCTCATGAGGTTCGACAGTGGGTCTGTTGCTGGGTTTCATCAACGAACGACAGCTTGTTTTAAGTTTCCTCACTCAGCTGAAGTGGAAAGTTTATCTATCAACAGGATGAAATGTTGTTAAGGATAATTATTGACAGGATAATAGCTCTCTTTCATGGTTGCTTTCCCAGATGAGGACAACAAACATTTTCCAGTACGTAGTGTGCCTGCACATACCAATGTCTGCTTCCTTCTTTCCTCTCCACAAGGAATGTATCTCTCATTCGATTCAGTCCATTTAGTGGTACCACCAAGAAGTAAAGTGACAGTACTCCCATCAAACGTGATCTTAAATTTCCTTTGTCAAGACTCTTTAGTTACTCTTACAAACGACGACAAAATAGCTGGGTGGTGTTATGTTCTAGTGTTAAAAAAGATAGATATATTTCCTCATTTGACGATTTCACTACTTATCATCCTTAAATAGCACTCAGTCAGGTTTGTTAAAGATTACTCGGGCTCTTCATACTTTGTAATTCGATTTAATATGAATATAAATAAAAACTAGATATTCGAACAGAATAAAATTGAATTCAATTTATGCTGCTTAATGTTTTTGGTTTTATTTGTAATATCCTAATATTAACCATCAAATTGATTCATCCTAATTAGTTTTATAGAAAGCACATTGAGGAGATGGGATTAGAAACAATGACAGAAATTTCAATGGACCTAAACTTACTTGACAATAAAGAAATCCGTGAAATTAAGAATATAATGAGTAATTTGGCTTTTCAATAACATTAATTTTGGGTAATCGTAATAACACTTCTCAGGAGATAATTTCCTAATAGGTTCTCAAGATGTGGAGCCCGCAGAGATCGAACTGCGGGGCCATGCTTTGACCAATTACCAAGTTGGTAAATGAGAAGCGTGACACTCGAAGGGTTAGCGAACTACGAGATCGAACGTGTTCTTTTAAGAAAACGTCGATTGCATGTGCGTGTTATTTGCCTCAGAAATCCCACCTAGCTTTCTCACCTGCGATTCTGACATCCGTTGGACCCACCTAAATTCTCTGCTGGGTGCGATTGTGGGTGGAACACTTAAGGGGCGTCCCAACATTCCGAGTTGGATGGTCTCTGTAATGCCTGGTCCAATGGTCGTGAGACGCGTATCAGGATTCATATAAATGCTTGTAATACCCACAGCCCTGGGATTGGGTGTCGTCGTAACTTGGCCGGAGCCGGTTGGCGATGGCCGCCGAGGACGGTTGCTGCCGGTTACGGGCACCCCCTTCGAGTTCCCGGGATCCGCAAAGGATGCCGCTCGTCAGACGGCGCAACCGCTAGAAACGGGGGCGAGAGAGGAGCAGGAAGATGAGCACTGCGTCGTCTCTTCGAAATTTACTGATTGATTCAGGTTGCGATTCGTTGGGTAAGTGCCGCGCACAGATCGCTAATATGCTCTCGTTTTTTCGGATGTTTTCGACCCTTTTCTTCTGTTCGGCTGTTCATCGAAAGTGTCGGTTCTTTTGATATTGTGATACGAAATTTGCATCTTGGATTTTATCAAAGGTGAATTTTTGTGATAGTTTCGCGATCATGGTGTTCTTGGAACCAGCTCGTCTTTTTTCCCAGAGAGAAATTAGGGTTTGTTCTTTTGGTTCTTTCTTGTGGTGTATTTTACGGTAAAGTGTCACATTTTTCTTTGTGGAAGCTGCGGTTGAGGTTATTCAGTGTTCGATCTTTCTTCCCAGAAGTAAGGGATTCAACGGTTTATCTGCATTTCGAGTAATTTGTTTCAAGTTCGATGTTATGAATTCAGGATGCGATTGGCAGCAAAAAGACTGCTCTAATCTGCGGCGATTAGATTTCTATTTCTCCTTCTGGGGTAGTTAAGAGAGGGCTGACGCTTGATACTTTTGTGGATTTCAGATGCCTATTAGGTTCCGCTCCCTCGATGGCTTATTCGCGAGTCACTGTTGGAGTTGGAGGACCATCGTTATCTTCCTCTGCTTCTGGTGTCTTCATCCAACACGATGGCGGTCAGACCCCAGCCACTGTGAGCTCCATGTCGGAGAAAGGTTATGCTGGTCTCCGACCAGCGTCTGGTGACATGAACCAGATACTCAACAGCACGGGAAACTCCTCTGGTCCAAGTGTTGGTGCGAGCTCCTTCGTCACGGACGCCAACTCAGCGCTCTCTGGTGGTTCTCAGTTGAAAAGAAGCCCCAGCTTCAACAACGAGTCGTATATGCGACTCCCGTCCTCACCCATCTCCTTCTCCTCCAACATCTCAGGTTCTTCAGTGATGGATGGCTGCTCAAATGTGCAACAGAGCCCTCTTCAAGAACAGGTGCAGAAACAAGGGCTATCAACGGCTACTTCTCAGCTAATGCAACAGGAGCCTAGCAATTTAATGAATGCACGGAAGAAACCACGGCTTGACATAAGGCATGAGGATACTCTGCAGCAGCAGTTGATCCAACAACTTCTGCAGAGACATGAACCCGTGCAGCCACAAGACCAGCTGAACCTGCGCCAACAGGCCATTTCTCAACAGCAGAGACTAGTCTACCGTCAACCACAGCAGATAATGCATTCCTTTTCTCAGATGCAAGGAGCCCCAATCACTTTGCAGCGGCAACAGCAGCTGCAGCACCAGCAGCAACCTACTTATCCGCCAGCTAATGCTGCTAAACAGTCCCTTGATAATAAGATATGTTATCGCAGACTTATGCAATACTTGTATCACCGGCGTCATCGGCCACCTGTGAGTTGATTATTTCGTAGGTGCACCTATCTGATATGTTCAGAGAATTGACCCTTTTATCACGCTGGCATATTCCGAAATGTCCTAAAGCTGTGAATTTCACTGGTAGGATAATTCCGTTTTATACTGGAAGGAGTTTGTGGCCGAGTATTTTGCAATACAAGCTAAGAAAAGGTGGTGTTTGTCCTTGTATGATAATATGGGCAGCCATGCACTTGGCGTTTTCCCACAGTTAGCTGTGGTAAGTGTTCCTTGAATTTCAAATTTCTTCAACTTAATGTTTGTTCTGCATGTGAATTATACCAGGATTAGTATATGCATTTTAATCTAGGAGGATGACAAGACGAATCCTTGTAAGCACATCAAGATAGCAGAAAAAATGTTGGGGCAAGTTACACAATGTAATATCTAGGTTGTAAATTGGAAGATCTGAATGCTTGTAAGCTGCATCAAGACTGCAGCAAAAGGGTAGAGGCAACTTAAATAATGTAACTTCTGCGTTGTGAATTATAAGGTGATACATAAGTAAGTTTGTCTACTACTAATTCTGATGTTTTGCAACTGAAGTTGAAGGTTGAACATGTTCTTTTTGATATCCTCTAAGATCTTTCACGCCTTGTGAAACTCATACTTCTTTTTCTAGAGGGACTGAATTTCTTTTGCTGCAAATTCAAGCTCCCTAATTGCATTACTAATTATTTAGGTGTGTTTAAAAGCAGCCTACTCTAGTATAGACTCAAACTGACAGTTATAGTGACTTAAACCATTTTGTTATGTTCCCTTCCTGTGTTTATTGAACATAATAGTATCTTGTGAGTTTCTCGATTTTTGTTTAGTTCTCATTGTTGAGATGAACCCATATTTGAAAATTCATTTTGTCTGTAATTGAATGGAACATGAAATAGTATCATGCTTTCTAAAGAAAGAGAAAAAGCAGAGATCAACTGTATCTATTCCATATTAGTAGAACAAGGCTCTCTTCTCCATTACTTTTTACTAAATATTATGTTTTGCAATCTCTGTTGTTGCAGAATGCATGGCAGTGCAACATCTGTGGTTCCAAATCTGTAAAGGGATTTGGTTAGTATAATCATCTTTTTTTTTATTTTTTAGATAGGGCAGTCTCTTTTGACTCTTGGAATTTATGAGATAGATGATAACGTTTCTGTTGAGTTTATATATTTATTTTGTACAAACGTTTTATAATGACTGGTCTTTTCTCTTCTAAATGAAAGGTGGTTTATATACGTATTTACTAGTGGTGATAGCATTCATTATTGTATACAATGTTGAGCTTATGCATAACATGTCTGAAGAAAATTTTAATTAAGGAATATATTTAACACAAATTTCCTTTCCTTTTTGTATATTGTTTCTTGATACAAAAACAACATTTCTACTTATAGTGGTAACATTGGTCCTTCCCAGACTCATGTAGGTTGAAGATACATGAATTGGGTTCTCCCTTACATTGTTTCTTAATAAGTTATTTTAATGAGAAGAACTTAGGAAAAAAAAGTTATTGGGTTCTCCCTTACATTGTTTCTTAATAAGTTATTTTAATGAGAAGAATGTCAGAGAGTAATTCAGTTATGGAGAAAAAAAAAAAAAGTTATGGAGACATATATTAGAAGCCAAAGATTTTAGAGTAATTCAGTTATATAGAATGTCAGAGAGTCTGAATATTTGGTCAACCTTAATCCATGGAAAATTAAGTCCCAATATTTTCTTTGTTGCATCAATAATAGATTGATGACATGATTGCTGTGACATTCACATTCACCCTATTCTAGATATTAGGCTTCAAAAAATCTTTTTATAGATCATTTCATGATTGAAACTTCACAGTCAGTAATGTCAGTTAAAACATCTGCATGCAAGTCTTTAGAAGTTAGAACCACTCTTTGGTTGTTGCTTCTCGAAATTCGATTGATTTAAAATTCATATAAAAATTAATAATTATGCAGCTTTATCTATCTGATAATGAACTAGTATGTACATATATTGAGTTTGATTTTATCAACTTTGTTTCTTTATATTTTTGTGAATCTAATTACTCTTTTGAGTTTTGCTTGCTTTCAACTATATCCTTTATATTCTTTGGCAGAAGCTACTTTTGAAGTGCTTCCGCGGCTTTTTCAAATTAAATTCGACCATGGTGTTTTTGATGAAAATTTGTTCCTTGATATGCCCCATGAGCGCCA